GAACTGGTGGTGCCACGTTTCGGGCAGCCCTGGCACGGGATTTCTTCCCAGAGGAAAGTTATACTGGTGTAATCCTTCTTGGGGATGCAATTCTGTAGTATAAAAATGCTTATTCCCCTGTATCTTATTTCCCTTCTCATTTGAGCGTGAACTATGCTAGGATAGTTGCTGTTATATTGGTAATTATGTCCCCCCAGGTCTATTGTGGCAGATGGGTTAAAGTGCCTTGTTCTAGCTCTCTGCTAGCTAGCTTGGGTACTGCGCTAGTAGCACATGGACTAGTGGAGCTATCCACTTACGTACTTACTTCATTTCCTGGGTGGGTTTTCAGTCCTTGCTGATCATCATGCTGATCTGTGTATATACTGCTGCTAGCACTCAATCTTGCTAGATTAAAGCTATCTCGGGGGTGTCTTTGCAAGTGGTGGTGACTGCAATGATGATGTAGCCTACGCCTATGCCTCAGACCCTCATTTTGGCCAGGGTCTCCCGACACCATTGTAATATCAGTATCGTCACGTGGGATGGAGGATGTTGTCAACGTGCCAAACCTGATCCACGTCACAGCTCTGATGCAGCTGAGTTTGGCTGGTTTGGGGGTAACCTATTGCTTGCAGTCTATAAGTGGTCACTTTGACCTCCCTCCAAAAAGTGCTTGGTTGTAGGAGTTGGGGGGCCCGTTTGTCTCTAGCTGAGTGCTATCAGGAACGGTCTTCCAGAGGAGCGTCTGCTGGCAATCCTGATTGGAGGGGGGAAAATTTTTAATTTCCCCTTCCCTGAAGGAACGTCTTTTCATCCTGAGATAGAAAAGAGCCCAACACGCCGGCATCGGATCAACGGAGCAAGCAGCAGGCTCGCAAGATAAGCTCTTGGCTTCCCATTTGGAGGGCTGTTTGAGCAGAGAGAGTTCGTGTCTCGAGCAGAGCAGGAAGCTGGAGACAGATCCGGAGGTCTCGGGAGGCGGCGGGGAGGAAGGGGAGGCGGGTTGAGCTGGGGAGCGCATTGGTTCGCTCTATTGGCAAGGCCAGCTGCAATTTGTGGGGCAGGGTTTGGGTCCGGCAAGCAGGATCCACTCCTGAATCATGGTCCAAATGAAGCTTTCGTGGAGGGGTGATTCATGGGCAGACTCCAGGCTTCCTACGGGGCCCCTTGGGACATTAAAGCAGGTTGCTTGCGCGTGGTGCTAGTTTCTGGGGCAGGGGGCATTGGTCTTCGCGGTTGCTGGACAGAGTGGCACATCACCACTTTGCCCATTCGTTGGCTCTGTCCTCCAGCCTCCAAGGAGTTTTTTTTCTTTCCTTTCTCTGTCTCAATGACACCAGAGAGTGTCTTTCTCTTCTCCCCATAATGGTAGGGGTGATTGCACCAGCTGTTTCTTCCCTCCCCTTTACCCCATATGGGTCTCCCTAGTCTACCTCTTTTCTCCTGTGGGGTTGAGAGAAGGAGAGGAGCATGCAATTCTCCCAGGGTTAGTTTAAATTTAGGCCTAAACAAGGACTTAGGCATAACCTCTCATTCGTCTGACGTTTGAGGAAGTTCAGGAGCACGTTAGACCTTGACCTTGGCAACCTGAGCCCAGCCATTGCAGCTCTTCGAAGTCTTCCTGAGCAGACTGCTCTGCCCTCGGCAAGCACATGATCCATGGCCTCAGCGAAGGCACGGCGTGACTCTCACCAGACTGGGGTTAAATAAAACCATTAGCAGAATTGTTCACCAGGATCCTGTTGGGAGCCCGAGCCAGAGTTTACATATTTACCCACGGCTTATTGAAACCTGTTTTTCTAGCTGCTGCACCGAGTGTGAGATTACAGCAAATAAACAGTCTTTGTTCCCCGGGAGAACGGGGATCTTACTTTGGAGATTCAAATGACTCGCATGCAAAACAACCCCTATCTTTTCTTGTTGTTCCACGTGGCGTATAGGAGACTGTCAGAATAGTGCTGGGGATTTGCAGGCTGTGAGCTATACACAGATAGAGTCGGATACCATCATAAGAGGTCAACAGAGAGTAAGAGCAAATGCGGTATATTCCCTATTAAGAAGGATTAAACCAGTATAACTTTCCGCTGGGAAGAAATCCCACCTCTGACCAAAACCAAACAGATTTGGGAGGTTTCCAAGCATGAAGAATTTTGGCCGGCTTTTTGATAAAAATTCACCAAACTGTGCAAGGAAGGACCCCAATATTTCACAAAGAGTTACAAAACCATCTTTAAAGAATAATTGTGTAGAGGAAAAGTAGGGAAGCTTTTTATTTTTGAAAACCACATTGCGGGGAGGTGAAAAATGCAGATGTGCAGTGGGTTTGATGGCCTGCTATCATCCCCAGCTTACTGAGAGAAGAAATCACATCCTTCCTAAGTTTCACACTTTTTTTTTGTACCTCTCCTCCATTGGTACAATCCACGTCCACCGCACGGGAGACCTGGGTTTGATTCCCAGATGTGCACATAGCTACAGCCATCAAGGCACTGAACATCTGGACTCAGTTTGGCTTTTAGAGTCTGTCCCGATGGTTTAAAGTGGACAGAAGGTCTGGACAGTATCCACTCCTCCATACTCCTGCCTAGGGGTATGTGTTGAAGGTCTGGGCAACCTCCCCTGCGTACACTGTGATGCAGAAGGACGGATGATTGCCTACTAGACTCCGTCAAGTGATGGATCTCTCATGGTAGAGGCTCCCCGTTCCAACCAGAAGCACCAAAAAAACCCTGTTACTAGAGACCCTGCAAAAGGGAAATAGTTGGGGTAATTTTGTAGACAATGGAGGTGTGAAGTAGAGAAAAGGGCCTTAAATTGACACCGACTTCCGATCTGACATCAACTTTCCTACCCTGAAACTTTCAGCAGAGGCTTGCTGTGAACCCAAATCCACATCAGAACTTGAGATTTTGGTGGCTGGAAAAAAAAAAAAAAAAGACGAAAAAAAAGACTTCAACTTGAAACGCAAATGTTGATTGAAAAAAATTTTTTTTTTCTCCCCAAAATGAAACACCAGAATGCTTCCCGTTGGGTTGTTGAAATGTTTTGTTCAACCTAATATGTTTCAGGTGTTTCTCACCGTCGTTTTGATCAATCCCGGTGAAAGGAAACATCGGAGTGTTTTGTTTCGAGAAGAGCCTTCCTCTCACCGTATTATCCTCCCCCTCGCGTGGGTTATCTTTGGGATTCTGGCTGTGGAGAAGGCAGTTGCCCTATTGACACTTCTTCTTTCTCTTCTGTAGAGGGAAGCTAATGTAATGTAATGTAAAGGGGGCACCCTTTTATTGCAAAGTGCTGTGAGTTTTCCAGAGGGCAAAGGGTAAATGTAAGCATTGCTCCAGCTGGGTTTAAGCACCGCGAGAATCTTGGCCGGATCTGTTGACCTTCAGCCACGACCAGCCACGGACAGCCTCATCCTCAGAAGGCATATCTCCTCCCTCGGCACACAGGATCCCAGTCTTCGGGAATGAAAATCATCGAAAAGGAAAGCTCGAATACTTGATCAAAAATGTGCAGTTTCACGGCCGAGCGGCTGTCTTCATGCTAGTTTGCATCTCCCCATGCT